ACTCACACACACACTCTCTCACACTCACACACTCACACACACACACACACTCTCTCACACTCACTCACACTCACTCACACTCACACTCACTCACACTCACACTCACTCACACTCACTCACACTCACACACAAGTAGATAGAATAGAAAGCTAGTGTTTTTTTATATAAAAAATAAGATAAATAGATAAAGTAGAATTAAAATAGAATAGAAAGTGCTAGAGTTAGAGGGTCAAATAAAGATGGAACAGATGTGTTTTTAGTCATTTTTAATTAAACATATATAAAAATATTTTAAAGATATTTAACATTTAAACTATTTAAGACATATAAATGTTTGACGTGATTTATTTATTCATCTTTGCTGAATAAAAGCATAATTTTTTTTTTTTAATCTTACAGACTCATAACCGGTGTCATTTACCTACAAAAAACAGCTGAAATATTGTTTTGACGACAGCTGTGTTTAACGCAAAGCTTTACTGTTGTAACAGTAAACATACTTTGGCAAATATTTGTAAGAAAACCACGGTTGCAATAGAAGTCAGTTCATATTACAATGGGAAGCTTGTTTTTGTGTATCCTGTAAATATGAGTCACACATGCAGACGGTCAGATACTCTGATTCAGTCCAAAACATAATGTTTTTATAACATTGTTATTATTATTATTTTAATACAATTCTTAATTATTAAATAAATAATACATGAATAAATAAAACAAAATAAATCAATTGTCATACAGGCGTGAATACTAATACTAATAATACATATTATTGTTGTTGAATAATATAAATAGATATCATTATTTTTGTTGATAAATAATAATCATCATCTCATCATCATAATCACACAAATAATAACAAGAACAATTACTATGTTCTTACTCTTATTATAATTAGTACATAAATATTACTACTTGTGTCATGCAAGTTTGAATAATAATAGCAAAAATATGAATAACTATTAATAATATTAATAAAACATAAAATTGTACGTAAAAAGCATTAATGCATAAATAAATAAATAATGTTATAAATGTTATACAGGTTTGAATAATAATAATATTTGTTATTATTAAATACATTTAATTATAAATAATAATAATAATAATTATTATTATTATTATTAAATCATAAATAAATGAATATTACTATTTGTTATTCAAGTTTGAATAATAATAACAACAACAATAATAATATTAAAATGTAATAAATAATAAAATAAAATAAAAAATAATAATAAATTGCAATATCGGTTTGCATAATAATAACAATTATTAGTATTTTTATTAGAGTTGTTGTTGTTGAATACATAAATAGTTATTACAAATATTTACTATCAATAATAATATAATAAATATAATTTTTATTAAATACATGAATAAATATTACTATTTGTGTCATGCATTTCTGAATAATAACAATACAAATACTAGTAATAATAGATAATACATAAAATATATTATACATACATACGTCAAATAAGAGGAGCGTTGTGAGGTGATGATCGTGTTTAAATCACTGCTGTCCCCTACTGGACAGAGTATTAAATATTCACACACAGAGAGTCTGAAAACAACAAGGTAAATGACAGCAGCAAGTGTTGTGTGTGCTGTGAGAAACAGAGCATGAGTCAAGAGTCATGTTTACTGTTCAACATTTAATCATTCAGTAGTGTATGAAAAAGTCACCACAGTACTCCTGTATGAGGGGGAAAACACACAATATTTGACATTAGACGTAGTCCTCAACTGATAAGGCTCTTGAACAGTCGAATAAAGACAAAAACAGACACCAATCGGACGTGACAGAGGAAGCTGGTGACTTACAGCTGGAGTCTGTGTGTGTTTGTTCTCCATAACGTCTCCAGTCGCCTCATAACAAGACTGAGTTTCCCTCCTCTTCTCTATGTATTTCCTACTTCAAACATGTTTGTTGTTCAACCTCTCCCTCTCTCTCTCTCCCTCTCTCTCTCTCTCTCTCTCCCTAATAACTGTTTTCTATTGTAATATATTGTAAAATGTAATTTATTTCTGTGATCAAAGCTGAATTTTCAGCATCATTACTCCAGTCTTCAGTGTCACATGATCTTCAGAAATCATTCTATTGCTGCTTTGTAACTGAATGAAGAGGATGTTTTAGGTAATAGATACATTTTGCAAGCGCATCATGAGATTGAGGAATCTAGCCGGTCTCTGTCCGCGGGACTCCAGCACAAGAGACGCTCTGTGAAGAAACAAACTGTCTGGAGGACGGCCCGGGTTAAATCTAGTTGGCGCAAGAAATTCAATTGATTTACTTCAATTTAAGTGTTTTTTTTATGCCCAGAAAGATCCAAGAGCCTTTCTCAGGGTTCAGGAGGGAATCATAGCAACGATAAACACTGTTTATGTGGCATTAGGAGGGATTCATTCAGATAATATAGGGGGGGGGGAAGTCGTATATTATATATTATATTGTATTATATTATATATAAATATAAATGAAATAAATAAAAGCAAAATAAAATTTTTCGGATGTAAGCATCAAAACAATGCCCTACTGTATTGCAACGCATCAAAGCAGTCAATCCAACACAGTCAAGAAGGCCTGCGATCGGACGCTGATGTTGCTTTGTTTCTTCTCGATAGGTGAGTAACATCGTGTCTGCGCCGCAACAGCTGATAGTAAGACATGCAAACATAAAAGAAAACCAAACTGGACGCGAGAACAGCTATATATTAAGGATATAATAAAAAATTTAGAGTTGGGATAACCTCCAAACCAAAGCCGATAGCTTTTTAAAAGTTCATTATCGTCAAATGTTTCTAAAATGTTTATATTCCGAGGTAGATTGCTGGCAACAGCCATTTTAGGATAGTTCAGATTTGGTCTTAGTGACTTAGGAGTCAATTAATTTTAGCGCTAAAACGCTTTGTGAAATACTCTTAGAGCAAAAATTTAGGAGTCCTAAATTTAGGATTGACACGCCCATTATTTTTAAGATTTTCTCCTAAATCGGCGAGTTATGAGCTACTTTTAGCATTAAGATGTTTTGTGAATACAGGCCCAGGTTTTTATAACTAATGTAACTTGTGTAACTTTTGTGTTAAATAAGTTATTTACTCAAACACATAGTATAAATCATATATGTATATGTAAACACACACACACACACTAGGCTTGCTGCGATAGACGGTGTTTTCGGTTATACCGGTGTTAAGCCACAACACCGGTTATGTCATTTGCCTACCGCGGCACCGCCCCCCACCGTCGTTTAGACGATTTTGAAAAGCCTATTGACTGGAAGTCTTTTTAAACATTCGTTTCTTATTTATTTGGTTCCACAGTGTTTGCTGATTACTTTATTTAAACTTTGTGTATTTTATTTATTTTATTTTACATCAAGGTGTATATGCCGTGCCTCCAAGCTTTCTTATTTGTTTTGCTAATAAACGTTCTATGTTTCTTATTTATTTGGTTCCACAGTGTTTGTTGATTTTCAGTTTTATATACCCATTTAAACTTTGTGTAGCCTAAGTAATTTGTTATTTTATTTTTATTAGGCATATATGGTGTATTTTTATTCGTTTTGTTAGTTTGACGTTGTTGTTTTGAATTGCGGCTAATTTGAAAGTGAAAGTAAAACGCGCACGGCACTTTTTCAAGCTATTTGAAAGCCAAGAAATCCGAGGAAAAGAGGGAAAACTCAAACGAACAATTGCTTAACGCCGAATTGCGGCAATTCAATTGCTGCTAATTTGAAAGTGAAAGTAAAATGCGCACGGCACTTTTACAAGCCATTTGAAAGCGAAGAAAAGAGGGAAACTCAAACAAACTAACCCCCCCCACCCCAACGGTGATACCGGTATTAACGGTGTTGTCACACGTCGATTAACCGGTGGGAAAATTTCCTCACCGTCACAACCCTAACACACACACACACACACACACATAAAAAATGTGTGTATACATGTTTTAATATATTAGTTATTTTGATCTATAACCCATTTCAATAAGTGCACTTTTTAACAACAATGATAAAACTGCAAACTTGTAAGGCGAGTCTTGAATCAATCTACACTGAACAATGTGTAGCTACACATCAAATAAATCATATTGCTAGTCAATCCACGTCATTAAACGGCTGCGCTTCATCACACAAACCCTTTCACACAACTTTCACCAGCTCTCTCTCTCTCTCTCTCTCTCTGTTGTCAAAATATCGCCTCGGTGACTGTTGCTTAGAGATGAATCAGCGTTTTCAGATGCGTGTGAAATGATGGGATCACTAGCATTTATTCACTCGACTGTCAGTAAAGATGAGACGGGTACGGCAGGAAAGCACACTAATAAAGCTGTCCTGTGAAATCACATGTCTGTGCGCATCTGCTCTCTACAGTGATCTAAAACACACTTTATCTGCCGACTGCAAGCAGCCACTGAGCAGCACTAGTCCGTCTGTGGCCGCGGTGCTTTCAGAAGTTCCTCTCGGCGCAGGAAGACGATCAAACATGAAAGAGGAAGACGCCTGTATTTACTGCTGACTTCGCAAATCTTCATTTAAAAAGGAAACAGTTTGATAATCAGAGCAGACCAGCATGACATGATGCACTTCACACCACTGAAACAAAACACACAGCCTTTCCAATCAACACATTCGGCTCAATGCCAATAAAGACAAAATATTAATGTGGCACCATTCAATGGCATTAGAGAACTTTATGAATGGGAAAATGACACATAAATCCCATAAATTAATCTTTAAAATAGTCCATTTGAGACATGCTCATCCTCATGTGACACACACATCCTAACACTTAATAGGCAATTCTTAAAGACTTGATTTATTCCGTGAGTTTTAGTATTATATAATAAGTCTAATATTATTTGGAAAGTTCATTTTTTATTTTAATTTATTAGATTAAATTATAATCTATAATTGTAATCTAATTTTTGTGTATTTTTTTTTTTTCATTACACAGTTTTTCTCTAAATATTTTGAAAACCTCACGCAGGATTCATATGAACTACTATGAGAAGTTTCAATGCTCATTTATAGTAATATGTGTTACTATTTTGATTTTATTTGTACATGTTCTGTTTTCACTTTAATTTTTGTTAAGGTTTTAGTAATTTATTTTTAGTTTAATTTATTAGACTAAACTTAAAACAAACAAAAAAAAAATCAGAATTTTGAGATTTAAACTCGCAATTCGGAGGGAAAACAAAGTCTGAATTTTGAGTTTATATCTCACAATTCTGTGAAAAAAAGCCCGAATTATGAGAAAAAAAATTCACAGTAGCCTTTTTTTTTTTAAATTCATTGGCAGAAACGGGCTTCCATATAAAACCCTAATGTCTGCAACTGATAAGAAAAAACTAAGAAGAAAGAGTTATTTCAACGAAAAAGCATCAAATATGAAGTGTCATGCAGGGAATTCTGGGAATGTCAATTTACGTTTTTCCACTAAATTATACAAAGCCTTTTTCTTTTTCAGTATTTTACTGTAATTACATTTATTCACCATATATAGTATGGAAACTTACTGTTAACCAATTAACAGGTTTTTACTGTAGCATTCAACAGTCTTTTATGGTTAAAACCACAATCATTTTTCACAGTGTTGTTTATCTTGTGACTTGGTTGACTGACTGTCTTGTTGTGAAACATTCACACATTCATCTGTGTGACTCTATACTGAAGGCAGCAGGGCCTCAACATCAGTGACAAGCATGATAATGAACAGAGCTAAACTAACCAGAGAATCCACAGTCACAGACAAACACACACACACACACTCTCTCTCTCACACACACACACGTTTATCTGAAGCACATCTTGCCTGAATATGTGCATGTGCATCTCAATCGTCTAATGTCCCGCTTATGTGTTATTAAATAGCGTTTAACACAAGTACAACCTAGAAAAGGCTGCACTAAAGCCCAGAGCATCATGAAGCAGCAGCACTGACAGAAAACCTCCCGCATCTCACTCCTACTGAAGGACCAGACGAACATATCGCTGCAACAGACACTCGTGCTCGGGAACATCTGTGAAGCGACACATAATAACCCGTGTGTGTGAGAGAGAGAGTGTGTGTGTGTGTGTGTGATCAGACCGATGAAATGAACCGACAGGTGCTTCTGCACGGAGCGAAACGCCTCTCCATTCGCGCGGATGCGAGCGTCTTACCTCTGCGATGCCTCGAAACGACCGCAAATCATCCCAGCAGCACGAATAAAACACGCGACGACATTTTCCTCTCAAGAACTGGTTGTCACTCTGCTCTGGCGCTGCTTGCTTTGGCCCGTTCCTGTCAGTGACATTCACTTCCGGTGTCCCCGCCGCCATCAAAGATAAACGAGATCCGAGATCCATAATAATAAAAAAAACCTCATAATCTAATTTAAAATACATTATCATAACGCTAAATTAAATAATAAAAATATAATTAATGTTAAATAAATGTTAATTAGAATAATGATGAAGCAAAAAAGTTTACTGCATCATTGATGTTATTTTGGTACTATATATAGAAATGACTAATTTAATATTAAATTACAACAAATATAACTACATGAAACTGAATGAAAACAATACAGCAATAAAACAGGTAGGTAATAGGAAAGGTTAAAACATAATAAAAATAATAGAATATTATATATAAAGAACAATATACATAAAAATAGCATGCAACCTACCAGATTGGTAATATGAAACATAAAATTATGTATATATTTTTATTGATAAAGTATAAAGCAAAGATAGATAAACAAAATAACAAACCATACTGCATAGAATAAATAATATTTGATATTATATTATATATACAAATGCAATTTAAAAGAATTAAATGTGTTTTATTTTAGTTTAACATAAATGTCATTTCTATATAATACATAAAATATAATTACATAAAAAAAGTCTAAAAATGAAAACAATGGAGCAATAAGAAGGGTTTTAATAATAATAATAAAAATTATTATTATTATTATAAATTGTAATAAAAGTAAAAAAAATATATATATGCATACTATAAAAAAAATTGCATAAAATTATTATATAAAGAATTAAGCATTATAAAGCAAATGACACCAGACCAGTCAAGCCATTTCTAATCCAACTTCAAATTTAATAAGCAGCAGTTCAGAGTCATTAATTAAATACACAGTAATTCATCTGCATATTATTTGTAACATATGCAATATATGTGACCCTGGAGCACAAAACCAGTCATAAGGGTCAATTTTTCGAAATTGAGATTTAGACATCATCTGAAAGCTGAATAAATAAGCTTTCCATTGATGTATGGTTTGTTAGGATAGGACAATATTTGGCCGAGATACAACTATTTGAATATCTGGAATCTGAGGGTGCAAAAAAAATCTAAATATTGAGAAAATCATCTTTAAAGTTGTTCAAATGAAGTTCTTAGCAATGCATATATTACTAATCAAAAATTAAGTTTTGATATATTTACAGTAGGAAATTTACAAAATATCTTCATGGAACATGATCTTTACTTAATATCCTAATGATTTTTGGCATAAAAGAAAAATCTATAATTTTGACCCATACAATGTATTTTTGGCTATTGCTACAAATATACCCCAGCGACTTAAGACTGCTTTTGTGCTCCAGGGACACAGATTTCATTTAAAAATGTGTTGTAATGGATCAGTCCAGGCTGCAGTAGAAGTCCTGGTCTCTGCGGTGCTGCTGCACTGGCATGTCCCTCCGGACGTCCCGTAGTCTCTGCAGGTCAATCTGCACCAGTGTTAAACCCACATCTGAACCCCCACAGTCCCCGGTCACCTCACCCCACGGGTCCACAGCCAGCGCGTGTCCGAACGACGTCCGCTTCGCGTGATGAGCGCCGACCTGCGCCGCCGCCAGAACGAAACACTGCGTCTCGATGGCCCGCGCCCGCAGCAGCACCTGTCAGCAGAACAGCACTAGAGTGAAGGAGTGCTGGTTTCTGTGATAGTGGCCGTTTTACTCACGCAGGTCACAAAATATGAAGCATTTCGTAGCTTTTTTGCTTTCGACAACCATTTGTAAGGTGAAGAAGTCCTGTATTATCCATTAAACACCAGAAAAACTGCCAAACCGACATGATTCCTGTCTACCTCTGAGCCAGATTACAACTATTTGTTAGAAAACCCTTCATTCTTTGTTCAGATTTCATACCATTTCAGACATTTTCATAGAAAATTACATTTAACAAAGAAAAAGATGACTCAATTAGGACCATTCAGTGTTTTTTTTTTTTTTTTGGTTGCAGTGTGACAATATTTTCATGACAATTAAACATATTTAAACACCCAAATTACAGTATTTTGTTTTAAAATAATTTACAATAAAATTATCTTGCCATGCAAATAGCTATTAATAAATAAATAAATGCATACTCATTACTATAATCCTTAAAAAGTATTTTTTTTGGTTGCATTGTGACAATTTTCATGACAATTAAACAAAGACCCAAATTACTGTATTTTGTTTTTAAATAATTTATAATATAATAATCTTGCCATGCAAATAGTGATTAATAAATAAATACTCATTACTGTAATCCATAAAAAGTATTAATGAATTATTATTTAAATATCATGGTAGTATTTTCTGTATTTTTATTCCTGCCTTTATTTAATTTGTGCTGATTTCAATAAAAAAAATAAACATTGCATTATATTTTTTATATAAAAATCCCTTTAATGAGCACATGAGGGGGGGGACTCAATTAAGGCTATATTACAAAAAAAAATCTTCTTTTTTTTTTTTTGCATTTTGACAATATGTTCCTGAAAATTAAATGTACTTGAAAAAAAACTGTACGTGTACCTGAAAAAAAAAAAAAAAACTGTACGTGATGGAAGTTTTTATTGATTTTTTTAACTTGGCATCATCAAATTAGGTAATAATAGGCCTTTTTTTTTTTTTGCAAATCAAAATTTTGGTTTAATGAGCGGTAGGGCTGTCAAAATGGCTGAAAAACTAAATTCGAATTTTGTACTGCAATATTATCAAAATTCTAATTATATTCAAATTTAAAATGCATAATTTCAGTTAGGGTGAAGAAAAGCTTTTGGCTTCTCTCCTGAGGCCACAAGATGGCGCATCGAGCAAAATATTACTAATGCACGTTTATTCAAAAATTCGAATGCAACGTTTTTGCATTAGAATGTGGATTTTTATTTTAAATTCGACGAATATTCGAAATTCGAATTCTTTTTGACAGCCCTACTGTGCAGCGCGGTGTAACATGTTTTCACCTCCCAGTGTGCCGCTCCTGTGGCCACAGTGAAGGCTGATGGGTAAGTCAGGATCTCTGCTCCGTGTCTCCGCAGCGCTGATGACAGCTCAGGAAAACGCAGATCATAGCAGACGCCAAGACCAACCTACAGTGAACACAACACCATGACAGTATTACAGTGCACCTTAATATCAAGCCTGAGAGTGTTGTGTTGTTGTTTAGGGCTGAAGCACCTTTCCGACGGGCGTCTGGACGGGAGGCACCAGTCGAGGTCCGGGGACGGTAAAAGCGCTTTCTTTCAGAGACACTGCTTTACTCGTCAGCTCCACATCAAACAAATGAGCCTTCCTGTACACAGACACCAGCTCGCCTGAACACACACACACATGCTTCTGCTGACTGTGGCAGACAACCATCTCATACAAAACTCTATTTAACAAAGAAAACACAGCCTATATTAGGATCATTCTTTTTTTGCATTAGGACAATATTGTCATGACAATTAAACATATTTAAACACCTAAATTCTAATGACTATTTTCTTATATAATTTTCTTACATAAAATAATTTGATCTTGCAATGAAAACAGCTATCGATGCTGATAAAAATAAATAAATATATATATATATAAATAAGTAAATAACTTTTTGAAATATCATAGATATCGAAATTAAATGCCATAAATATCAAATATGAGTATTTTCTATATTTGAACATGACAGTATGTTCAGCCTTTAATTCACACTGGTTTTATTTATTTAAAAAAAATCAATGTATTACAGTATTTTTTTAAATATTTATAAAACATATGCACCATATTAATTAATCTCCTTTAATCACTTGAATCATCTGAGAATTATGAAAATTAAAGGCCTATGTTAGGACAATTTTTTGACACATTTTTTCCATGTGACAATATTTTCCCGACAATTAAGTATTCTTAAAAGCTTAAATTAAAATTACTGTATTTTATTTTTGGAATATGGATGAAAATAAATAAACAAACAAACAATTATTCATTACCGTAATGCAGAAAATATAAACTATAATTTAAATTAGTTTAAATACCATTGTAGTATTTTCTGTATTTAAACCTCATTGTAGCATTTTCTGCTTTTAATTTATACTGATTTTAATTATTTTTTAAAAATCATTGTATTTCCAGACAAATACTGTACATTTCATACAAAATTATTTGTATTAGAGTAGTTTTATAAATATTAAAATATGAAATACTGTAAATATTTCATATACGTAAATTATTAAATAAACATTAAATATTTTCTTATGATTTAGTAATTAAATATTAAAAATATATGTATTACAGTAATAAATGACCTCATTATAAAACGGGAGAGTTCCGGTCCTTGATTCTGATTGGCTGAGCCACGTTCAACGCTGTTGTAAATTACTCTACAAACATACACCTTTGTTTACGTTTGTGTGTTGCTCGGCAACTACTTTGTTGGAACCACAACTGTTTCTGAGGAACTATATTGTTTGGTGGAAGAATGCTGTTTTTATTAATATCATTACACTTTATTTGCTCGGTTTTATTTTGTGAAACCGTACTACGTATATGGAATAACCGTTTTATAAAAGCAATGAGCCCCATGAAGCCGTGGTTTACAGTCAATTTATAACAGCTAAGGGGGTTTTAGGCACTCCGCTTTGCGTCG